TTAGCCACCTCCAGGCTGTCAGAAAACTTACGGGCCCTGGCGTTCCCCATCTCCACCTGCTTCTGCATGGCCATCATTCCGAACAGTGTCTGCATAGGTGCACATTAAAAACAGTTAAGCCAATAGTCAGGTCGGGCGAAGGCAAGACCAAATAATATGAGAGAATGCATGAGTTAGAAAATAAAAGTCACCTCCATAGCAGATTGGGGAAAGCGGCTGAACACATCCTTCTGGGAAAGGCCCTTTGCCGCCTCAAGGTCCTTCGGAGTCCACATGCTCCTGTAGTAGGCCATAGCGGTCTGGCCATCCTTCAGCATGGTCTCGTTCGGTTTCACGAACGTCCCATCCGTTCGGGTGTACCGAGGGGCCCATGGCGGTAAGGTGGGGATAGAAGAGGGGCCTGAAGCAGAAGCAGAGCCACCAGCTGTAGCAGGCCCAGAGGGAGCAGGAGCTCTGACCGCTCGGTGCAAGAGAGCACCCGGCCCGGAGACCCGGGTCCTTCTAATGAGAGGCTCCTCCTCAAGATCGACTTCACTATCAGGATGAGGCCTTTTGCCTCGTTCTTTGTCCCGACCGCCCCCCGCAGCAGCAGGAGCTATGGTAGCTGGGGGGGATGCGTTCTGGTTGGCAGCAGGGGCGCTGGCAACAGGGTTAATAGCCACTGCGCTCGGGACAGTGTCAGATATGGTGGCTGAGGAAGAAGCTGACGCTGGAGAGGAGGTCGCCCCAGCAGCAGGAGTGGCTGGGGGAGTATTTTTCTTCCTGCCAAAAGAAGGAATCTGAAGTCTGCTCATGTTGTAGCCGAGTGATGAGAGCGCTAAGAGGTTGTCTGAAGTGAGGAGATCTGAGCAGGAAGGAATATCGTTCAGAACGTATTTCTTCAAGTAGTTACTCCTATCCCTGCAAACACTATAGCTCAAGTCATCACAAGGTATTCCCAAGGAACGGCATAAGAAAGTGCAAAAACGAGGAACGCATGTTTCGCAGGGGCAGTCATGTTTATGAGATTTGAATTTCTTATAGGAGGAGACAGAACAGACACCAAAGGCGCTCGGGATTGGGTAATCCTCTGCAGCCGGCGAAGACCAAGCCCCACTAATGCCCACTATGCTATCCCTCCAACCCTTCTCAGATTTTATTGTGTCCGTACATATGGACATCTTCTCGAACGGGTAGAGGTGGTAGAAGGGTTCGTTAGTACGGATCTTACTGACCTTATAGCACAGAAGGAGGTCTATGAGGTCGAGGTCCAGATTTCTGTCACGCATCAACAAGAGCATAACAGATATGATTCTAAAGAAGTTGGGGTTGACCTGCAGAGGGGATATCCCCAATCTATTGAAGACATAACTAAAGAAAGGGTGCAGAGGGAACCTAACAACATTCAATTGAAGGTTCGTGAATAAGACTTCGCCGGGCAGGAGGCCGGCGCCGGTCATAATGTTAACATCCTGGGGGCAAACCCTAACTTCGATGTTGTCAGGAAGTCTAAGTCTCATACGAAGAACATCCAGATCTACAACCATGGTGGAAGTGCTAGAAGAATCTAAAAGGGGGTAAATGGAAGCCTGCCGAAAGTAAAAAGAACGAAACTAACCTCGGAGGACTGCAAGATCGCTGGAAGAATGACTCTTGAAGGATTTCACCAGAAAAAGCTTAGCACTGTTCTAGAAAGAGAGAGACTTGGCTGATGATGGAGACGGTAAAGGGAAGTGAAGTGGAATTCTAGAGCATTATAAAGGCGAGGGGGCCCGAGGGCCGAAGCGTCGGGAAGGCGAGAAATTCCTCGAGCCCCGGAACATTGATTCTGGATCTGACCGTCCGCTCCCCCACGTGGTTATCTCGAGCCGTCAACATCATGATGAGACGCCATCAATAATTACCCCTTATTAAATAGGGGGCAATTATGGGGGCAGTTGAGGAGGCCACGGACGACATGGGCCGGATCCGACTCGCAAACACAACATTCAGTTCGTACAGCTGGGTCGGCCCATATAAAGACACTGCCATATGGGCCGAACGGGAGTAAGCCCATCAAAGGTGACCAGGGCTTATGGAGGAATAGGCCCAGATCCAGCAATCAGTAAATATCTTGTAAATATCTTGTAAATATCTATAAATAGGATATGGAATGGAAAGGAGAGGGATCTTTTTTGGTTGAGGTGTAAGAAAGTGTAAGAATTCTAGAGAGAGAAAGAGGAGAAGGAATTTCTTGCATCTTCAATATATATATTGATTATTTGTATGAATTAGAAAGGGAAGAAAAAAAATGGTTAGACACTTAACAATCTCAATTATTCTTCTCCTGACTTTTCTTTTTATAGGGAGTTTGAGAGTTGAACACATAAGATTAAATTTATGTAAGTAAAGAATGATGGTATGATAACATCATCATATTTAATGAGGTCATAATGACATTATCCCTCACTCATATAAATTAATGTGATACATCTTAAAGGTCGATCTATTTTATTATTTTGTACATAAAAAATGAACTACAAAAAAATATATACGATTATTTTATTATATTTTTTAATTTTGATTTTACATTACTAGTTTTGTCCCAGCCAAATTTTTTTTTCAGGATCCGCCCCTATTAATTGACTAGGACTCCCAATTCTTACCGCTTAGACCATAATCAGGGCATAGCCAAATTTATTTATTTATTTTTTGGGGTCAATTTATAAATCAATTGTAATATATTTTTTCTTTATGGTATTGTTCTTATTACAATATATATTGAGAAAAGACAATCCAAAAAAATATAAAAAAACAATTTAAATAAGTAGTGATCAAACCAATTATGAAAAAAAAAATAAAAAAAAAAAAATTGAGAGGAAAAGGCAAGTTAAAAGGAAAAAAAAAATATTGTTCTAGATTAAATTTTATCCAACAATTGGTTTAATTTTTCAAAAATTCAAGTTTTAGTTTTTTACTTATTTATTACTTTGATTCTACCTTGCAAAAACTATTACCATGTTAAAATATTAAGAATAAAATGTAACATTTTAGCTAAATAGAATGCCACGAATTTAACTAAGAGGTTGGCTCAGGTGGATAAGTTGTTTGGCCTTAATGTCTTAGGAAGCATCATATTTAAGTTTTGACTTTTCTTGGCCGCAAACAATTTCTTAAAGAGGGTGTGTGAGTACATTAGCATGATAATAATATTTAAAGAAAATGATTGACAAAGAGGTTAATACATTTTTTTCTTTTCTTTCTTAAATATGTAGAGCCGCTTATGTTTTTGTGACATATAAATATTTATTTTTATTTGGGTTGTTTGAGTTTTGAGGGTAGAAAAATATTTATATCTAAACTTATAATATTAGGGACAATCAAGAATTATGAATTAAAATTTTTGGTAAGTTTTAAACGGCCCACCTACACCTCTATCTCCACACTAACCATAATACAAATCAGCAGTTTTTTGTCAATTGAGTTAATGTGTATATATATTAAGGTAATTGATACCAGAGCTCAGTATTTTCTTTTCTTGTTTCTTATTCTTCCTCAAATCATAATCCCATTCATTCTCTTCATTAAACTTAATCATTTTTTCCTCTTCAGTCCACTTCTCCATGACTCGTACCTTAATATATATAGGCCTCTCTTCCAAGACGGACTATGATAAATTACAGTAGATAATTAAGGAACTCTCCACCCAAATATTCTAGATTTTCTCTTTAATGTTTTAGAATCCCTTATTCCTCGTTATAATCTTCATGCAGATGGAGAAGACTCCAGAACTCAATTCTACAACAAATAGACACTGATATATACTACTATTAGAAGTTTGTGGACTTTTTAACTTTTATATACATTTTAATACCTTTTTAAAACGGTTAACTGTTGCACTATTCCACTCCAAAATCATATATTTTGCTTTTTATTATTATTATTTTCTTGCAATAAAGGCACCCACCCACATGCCCTCGTTAATTTGAATCCTCAACCTTTCACTTAGTGCCTTTTTAAATTCAAACACCTCTTCAAATATATTCTTTTTTTACTAACCAGACTTTCAAATAATTAGTTGAAACTCTCTAATTATGGTTGGATGTTCTTATTATTTATCACTGAAATTCTGATTAATAAAAAAAAAAAAAAAAACTTTTGATTCAATCCAGTCACCTCCTAGTATAGCAAAAATACTCTTCAAATTCTAAAATGATATTTTTAACTAACCATTTATTTTTTCAAACTAGCAATATTTTTTTTTTTACTAAACATGTTTTCATATTTTTTTTTTCTAAAAATCTTGTATTACTAACCGGACTCAAATAGTATTGAACACAGTTCAATGCTGCAACGACTCAAAACAAAAGTAAAAACACAAAACAATTGTAGAATGAGCCCTACTTAGACCAAAACCCTATTTGGAATCTTCATTTTGTGTGTTAACTGTTTACGAGGAAGAAAGAGTAAAAAGCTTTTCTCAAAGATGATTAATTATTGTGTGCAACCTCTTTTAAATTTACCCCATATTTCTGCATTTCATTTTCTTCGACTTCCTGGCAAAATGTTAAAACAAACAAAGCCTTACAGGTGTATTGCAAAAATAGAAAACTTTTGTGAGAACAGAGCAGGGATCGTGTGTGGCACCCACCATTGATGCACAGAGCATAGCTTTACAGCTATTTGCAGTTCCTCTCTTCCCTTAATATTGGTATCTTGTATTTCACTCACAATTTGTAAGTTTCTTTCAAAATTTCCCTTTTCCTTTGTTTTCCTTCTCTTGGAAGGAATTGGGGTTCTGTTAATTTATATTGCTTAAACAAAGATGCATAATTTATTTTCCTGTTTGTGAAGTAAATCTCTCTTTACTGTTCTTCTGTATGGACATTGGATTGGTTACAGAGAGCTTTCCGTCTGGTGTAGCTCTCAACATTTTTTTTCCCGGGAAGATAACTTATTATCTCAAAAAGGTTTCAGATTGCTTGAGAAATTTGAGAACTAACTTGGGGGAAAGAAGCAACATGAGTAGTCAAAAGAGACACTGGAAAAAAAAATGTTGAGAGCTATACCAGACGGACAGTAGTAGCATTATCATTACTTATAGGAAAAATGAGATGAAGATCAGAAGCAGACTCTTCCATCTCACCAAGTTTCATCTCCATTGAATTTTAAGAAAGTTGTAATCCCTTCTTCAGCTTTGCCTTGGTGAATTTAGCCATTACCCCAAATTGATGGAAGTCGTATATGTATGTAGCAGAAAATTTTCTTCAACTTACATGTTTTTCATTAGCATGACCTAAGGATATAACATCTGCAATTTAAAGAGAGCTGCAGAACTTGTTTATTTAACCCTATTTCTAGGCTAGCATCTAGAAACTTGATTCTACAAAATCTTACACGAATTTATACAAACATGCTTTCCTCTCTCATTCTATGGTGAAGAATTAGTTGAAAAATCCAGGGGTGTCAAATGGGAAATTCGGATCAAGGTCGAGCTGTGGATCAATGGAGAAATCCAAGTCCACAATCGGAGAATTGGTAGCTGAAGTGGTGGCTGAGATTATCTCAGTCAGATCAGACTCTGATCTATGCTGCTGCAGATTATGCACCCATCGGTTGCTGTTCATCTGGCACGGAGACACCGAGAAGAAGTTTGATCCGGATGTGGCCGGAGACACAAACGACGAAGAGTAATTCTCTAGGACTACATTGTCACCATGGTGAACAAGTGTTGGAAATGGGAAGTTTTGGTTTTCGCTGTTCATGAATCCGAATGTTGAAGGAAAGCTGAAGGTGGAAGCCTTCTCCTTGTTGTTTTCCAAGTCCTTTGTATTGACTCTCAAGTTTGTTTGTAAGTTCAAGAGCATCTCATTAGGTTGGTTTTGGTGTTGCTGCTGATGATGACTAATGTAATGTTTGATTTGCCTAGGTTCCTGTTTTTCGGGTGATGGTGGTTGGGGAGCTGTGTGGCGGTTCTGGTTGCAGGTATGCCTCCCTCGGTATGTGATCTCGAAAATGGTGGGATCATCGTCGGAACGTTGCACTTGCTTTGTAGCCCAACAGTTTTGAACACTTCGGTATGTGCATCTGTAATAGCTCCTGCAAAAATGAACAACTCTGAATTAGGTTTGTTTCAAAGTCTTTAGAGCTCTTTAAAAAGTTGATAATCCCCTTTCACTATTCAGACAATCCATGAATGGGGATACTATGTGACTATGTGTAGTGGGAATAGACTCACTTTAATGCTATGCCAAGGAGAAATGTGACACCTTTTAGATGCTTTGTTGACATTGTGGGAATAGACACGCTTTAATGCTATGACAATTGATGACAAACAAAAATGTGTCTCCTTTTAGGTGGCTTTGTTAAGTACTATGATGTATATATTATACAACTTTTGTATCAGGCACTCCAAGCAGGACTACTTTTGTATCAGGCACTCCAATTGAGTGGTGCTTGTGACTTTCATGCAGGATAAGAGAACAGACTTCTCACCTGGGATAATTGGCACCTAGAATGTCTTTTTGCCCATACTTTCTCCAACTGTATCCATCATCATTGGGACCTTCCAGTCCATTCTCAGAGCAAATTCTCACTTGCTCACTCCAGGTAGGCATTCCCTTTCTGCAACACCAATTCAAAGAGAAGGTTTAGCAAAAAGTATAAGATTTATTTGTTTATTATTTATTTTTTGCCGCTAATGGCAGTGTCAGGTCTCTAAGAGCACCTCATAATTCACCATCAGACACATATAGTTCCCATCCCAAATGGAGTTTGGGAGTTTGAATTTTGTTGGGGCCACCTCTAGAGAAATTTCCCGATGATTATTCGGTGCATGTGGAACTGGGGACTACATGTATCTGGTGGTCGGGTGCTCTAAGAATCCTAGCACACCATCCTTGACAAAATAAAAAATTCCTCTGCAGCAAAGTCCTAGATTAAGATAGACAAAAATTAACTACAAAACCATGGTTTTAGTATTCAAATTCACCTCTTCTTCGAAACGTCTTTGAGTTCCTGCTGATCCTTGAAACCCCTATCGAAGTCCTCGCTTCCCGGACTTCCGTCTACAGAAATGGAAGACTCCGGCAATCCGGTGGTAGTCGGTGCTGCTGCTGTCTGAGGTTCTCCCACTGACCCACTCCACTTGAGAATCAACAGAGCCTTCTCAAATGAAGATACCATCCTCTGCAGCAACAATTCTCGAGTTTCGACAGAAGAAGTCGAATTCAGATGAAACTTTAGCTGCTTGGCCAGCTCCATTCCTTCAGTCAGCTCATTGATCAGTGTCATATGTTCACAACTCCAACCACTCTCCATCTTGTACAAGAATGATGACAAACTTTAGAGTTGAAGCATATATCTATATATATGTGTGTGTGTTATTAAGCTAGACAATTAGCAACAAATTTAGAAGCCAAAAGGGTATATTGAACACTCAATTGCTTGAAAATTCAGAAACTACAAAGGGGATTTGTGCATAAATTTAGAAGCCAACAAATGAATTGAACCGAGAAGTGTGGATCATGTATGTGATGTTAAAATGAGAATGAGACAGAGATGATGAGAAATGTGAGTGATGTGTGAAGCTCTGAGGAAGCAGAGAGTGAAGCATTTGAATTTAAAGGGAGAGCCTTTTTTGGGTTGGAAAGAGAAAAAGTGGGATGTGGAAAGGGTATGAGAGAGTTGAAGTTTGACTGAGAAACCGAGTTTTTCTGCATAGACCGGTCATTGGTCATATGGGTAGTATAGGAAGAGAAGAGAGACTAATGAGTGTGTGGATGTCCGATTGCTGACCAATTCCAAGTCCAAAATAGTCTTTCTCTCTCTCTCTCGCGCGCGCTCGCACACACATATAAGAAGCAGAGAGAAAAAGAGAGATGCTGACCAATTCAAAGATACCCAAAAGGTCTAATATATATATATATATATATAATTATATCTTCTGATTTGGCATTCATGAATCATGAGGAGAATAATAATTGAAATTAAGAGAGAAGAAAAGATGGTCAGAGAGATTGAGATTAGGGGGTATCGAGTAGACCAAAGAATTTTCAAAGTTTACTACGCGTTCCTCCCTTATTAAACAAGCTATTACTATTGTTTGTTGGAGAGAGAGTGTGGATTGCTGACGTGCACGTGTTGCGTCACCATCAATCTTCATACATTGCACAACACTCGTAGAAAATAAGAATGTGTCTTATTTGCTTTTTTAATAATTATCATTATTTCAAAATATTAGTTAAAAAAATGTATTATCTTTCAACATAAGAACACCACTATAAATTACACTGATTTGCTATAATTACATTAACCTCATTTCTAGTTTGCGAAATTACACAAATCTTTCTTAAAAATAAAACTAACTTACACGGACCTCCTTCTATAACAGTCAATGACAAATTTTGCTAATGTCATGTACTTAATAAATTATCATATTACCCTTTATCTATTTCCTCTCTTTCACTCTTTCTCTATATTATTCACCTACTGGCCAACGACCACCCCCAGCACCCAAGGACGGATTCAAAAAATTATGTGAGTGGAAGTGACCTTTAAAAGCAATAAGAAAAAAAAAAAAATTCAAACCATTTTAATGACCTTCTGTGTAACTTATTTGATAGTTAGATTGATACTTTCAGTGGTTTGGGCCATTAACCCTTTTTCTTTAAAGAAGCCTAATGTGGATTTGTGGGGGCAATAGTGCTAATTTTCAAACTCTCTTACTCTTTTTCATTACTCAATTTCTCTCTTTATATAACACGTATATACACAGAATGTAGCCAACCACCACCGCCATCACAATCACCATCACCACAAGCACCATATCCTCTCTTCCACTCTCTTTACTCACTTTCTCCCTATATAAGATGTATATACACATGATGTAGCGTATAAAACCCATATGGATTTGGGTTTTTAGTATCTATTTTTTTCGACGAGCCAAACCCAAGAACACCCACATCAATCTCTCCTCACCACTCTAACCCTCTTTCTTTCTATATATTATTAACTTATTAGCCGACCACCACCACCATCACTATCACCACCACACCACCACCATCTCTTCTCTCTCACTTTCTTAACTCACATTCTTTTTATATATAACATGTATATACATAGAATGTAACATATAAACCCAAATGGATTTAGGTTATAATTAGTACCCATTTTTTTCGACGAGCCAAACCCAAGAATACCCACATCAATCTCTCATCACCACTTTAAGCCTCTTTCTCTTTCTCTTAAATCGATGGCATTACCGATCGCGTACAAGGCTAGGGGATTCGCTGGCTAACGAGTAGCGGTGGTGAGATGTCGGTACAATGACAGCAACGAGATCATGGAGATTAAGGCTCTTCACCAGAAATCATGGAGCTTGAGGCTTTCTGAATACTGGTTTGGTTGGTTGTTGATGTTTAGAGCTTCTCGCCGGTGGTCATAAAGTTCAAAGCTCGCCGGAGTTCTTGATGATTACGTTCGGTACCTTCGTCGAAACTATTTGGTGATTGAGTAAAGTTCGCCGAAATTGTTAAGGTCTTTTCTAAAGCCCACTTCTTATACTTTAAAGCTTCGATTGTCTCGTCAATTGAATTTCTGGTCAGAGCTTTTTTTTCAGGGCCATAGTTAGAACTTATTTCTTCGCCGAAATCTTCATTGGTACAATTTTCTCCTCCGAAGCCTTCAACAAATGCTTGAGTTTGGTTGACCTTAAGGTTTCAACCTAAGGGCAATCTAGTAATTTTGATTATTATAAACCATTAACAGTGTTTTAAGGACTAATGTCTACATTGAGTATTTGTGAGAAGTATGACAAATTCCAAGACTTAACTCAATTGGGAAATCAAATGTAAGTCAAAGTCAAGCCATACTCACATGATATATCCCAAAGCTCGAAGAAAAACTTAAAGGAGCAAAGGATAAGTCAAGGAGCATTTCAAGGGACTTGGGCTTCAAAATGAAGAAGTCAATCCAATACTCAAAGAAGAATCCCTAAGAAGCTAATGATCAATGTTGATGCTTCAACAAAAGGGTAGATAGGTTTGGGAAGTATATAGAATTCAATGTCAAAGTAATTTATGAATCCATTTGAAACTTATCTCTATTTAGATCATGCATCATCATCATACCACCATATTTGATCCTTAGAATAGGTCATAGACTTCATATATATTTCATTCTTTGACTTATGATGTAAAGGAATGATCAATGCACTTAAAAGACATTTATATGGCCATTAGAGGAGGATCAACAGACTGATGAAATAGATATGAGATGTGCCAACCGACTGATGGCCCAAACAAAAAGTTGGGTTCCTCAAAACATTGTTTTAGCCGGCCGAAGAAGGTTTATTAGCCGACTGATCAAGGACTTTCGGCCAACAAAAAGTACTTCATCAGTCGACCGACACTCGGCTAGTTTTGAATCTAACGGTTACATCAACATTTATTGCTTCTTTGAGAAATAATAAAGTATTGTAAATCTGCATGTCCCCTAGTTGGACATATTTACCCTTAAATATGTAAAAAGATAATGTCACCTTTCCAAAAAAAATCACAAGAAATGGAAACTGAGCATGTGAATGTGTCTAACCTAAACCATGTAAAAATCTAATATAGCCTTCCCATATAAATTCACATGCCTATGACCATAATTTTTACAACACAATACTTTTTGGGTGCAAATCCTCTAAAGTGATTTTCCCTTCGGTCACATGCGATGCACCCTTAAGGGTGTGTTTGCCTTGGAACAAAAAAAAAAAAGAAAAAGAAAAAGAAAAAAAAGAAAACATGGCCCAAAAATGACCACCTCATTTAATATTAAAACCAAATCTGTGGCCTCGAATAGTAGTGAAATAATGTGAACCATAACCCTAGTTAAAATGCATATACCCATTTAATACTATTATACCATGATTAACCCTAGTTGTATAATAATATATATTTCATATACATGATTTAAACCCACCTGTATAATACACCAAACCTAGTTTGAAATTCGAAAAAATAAAACCTTTTAATTTCCCTTTGTTCTAAAATCATATGTATTACAAAATTATCTGAAATCCTATGGGCTAAGGCAGCCATTGCTTAGTACTTAAAGCTCTTCTTCGTGAATTAGCTACTTGTTTCTCCACCTTTTCGGCACCTAAAAACGCTAATGAAATCGAGAACGAAATTCAAGGGTTTTCGAATAGACATAGCAGAGAGGGAAAAAAGAAAAAACACAATCTTCAAGTTACCAATAACAGGATTTTCCAAGTTTTTCAGAATTTTGTCAATTGGGAACCGGTACCACATTTGGGAACCGGTTCAAGAACCTTAGCTTCGAAGATTTCATTTTGTCCTTTGGGAACTAATTCCACATATGGCTACTGGTACCAACTGCAATACAGTTTAGGATTCCAGTTTCTTGTTCTGTTTAAAACTTCCTAGTTGGTTTAGAATACTATCAAAAGTCCTATGCACGAAAATCCCCTTTTCTTATGCATAATTAGGTCTTTGAATATTCTATATAAACCTTGATTTTCATCTAGGTTTGTACGGCTTTTGCATTACAATTTCAAATTTCATAAAAGCCTTAGAGAGATATTTTTGCAGAAAATCAAAGTTGATTTTTCTGTGATTCTTTCTAGAACACACACATAAACACAAGAGTGAGTTTAGAGTATTGTTCAAATCCTAATCATGATTAAAGTCTTGCATCTACAACGATAAAAAAAGCCAATCTATTACTTCTTCTACAAATTCAGATATTAAAGAACAGAGGTAAAAATGATCCCACTTTGAAAGGGTCAAAGCATTCGAGGAGTATTATTTGATCTACCAGTAATCCTTCTACAGAGATCAAGAGTAAGCTTGAGGTCAAGTATTGTTGGACGGGACGTCGCAAAGCCAGATGATTGTCAGCGATTGGTGTTTAGTAAAATGATAGGGTGTGAGCCTGGGTTAAAATCCATTATACTTTATTTCAAACATAGTAGATCTGTTTACTTTGGACTGCACAGTCCATGAGGTTTTTTCTGCGCAAACAGTTGGTCTATTTTACCAATTGAGGTTTCCTCGCTAAAAATCCTGGTGTCATCTTTAACTCTATTACTTTGCTTTATTTTATCTTGCATGTAATTAATCGATTAATTGCTAAAATAAGTAAAGTTAGAAAGACACCAATCTGTTTCTAAAAATACAAAACTCTCTAAATCTTCCGTTGCATAAGTTCACATATAATACTATATACTACATATATATGATTTAAACCCACCTGTATAATACACCAAAACTAGTTTGAAATTCGGAAAACAAAACTTTTTAAATTCCTTTCGTTCTAAAATCCTCTGTATTACAAAATTATCTAAAATCCTATGGGCAGAGGCAGCCATGGCTTGGAATTCAAAGCCGTTCTTCGTGAATTAACTACTTGTTTCTCCACCTCTTCGGCACCTGGAAACACCAATAAAGTCGAGAACGAAATTCAAGTGTTTTCGAACAGACATAACAGAGAGGAAAAAAAGAGAGGAAAAAATAGAGCATTTGCACATCAATTGAGTTCATCATTCTAATAAAATCATAAGACACTCATTGCATATGCATAAGAACACAAATATTAAAA